ATTTCAGGGGAACCCTGGCAAGGCACATTGGACTGCGGTAAAGAATATTCTCAAGTACCTACGAAGGACTAAGGACTAGGTCCTTACCCTCGGTGGGAGTGATGACTTGAGAGTTGTAGGGTATAGTGATGCTAGCTTCCAGACTGATAGGGATAATTTCCGCTCTCAGTCAGGCTGGGTCTTTACCCTAAATGGAGGAGCAATTTCTTGGAAGAGTTCCAAGCAAGAGACAGTGGCAGATTCTACTTGTGAATCAGAGTATATTGCAGCTAGCGAGGCGGCAAAGGAGGCGTTATGGCTGAGGAACTTCATTGGAGACCTTGGAGTTGTACCAGCTATTAAAGAGCCAATGGAAATTTTCTGTGATAGTGAAAGTGTTGTTGCCTTAGCCAAGGAACCAAGGGATCACGGGAGATCCAGACACATCGACAGAAAATACCATTTCATCAGACATCGGATCGAAGAAGGACTCCTCGTGGCAAAGAGGGTATCATCAGATGAGAATCCGGCAGATCCCTCACGAAGGGACTGACTCGGGTTAAGCATCTCCATCATGCTCGGAGCATAGGGCTGAAGGATGATATTAGATTTAGTAGTTAGATAACCTCGAAATTTGTAAAGTGTAATTGACATTGATGATGAATAAAAGTGTTTTATTTATGAGTAAAGTGTTGCTATCTCTTGTCGATCGTTTACTATATTTCTTTTGCATGTTTTGACTTCCAGAATAATTTTTGTTTGGTATAACATATTATTCAAACCTCCACAGTCGGTCATATGTCGGAAGTAGGTATGAATCAAGACTGTCATGTTTGGTTGTAGAGGTCTTGGACAAGGCTACAGCAATCATGAGTGCTCATAAGTTCTGAGCATTGGACTCAACCCACGCTCACTGGAATCACTTCATGGAATTCTATCTCGAGTGATCGTGAGACGGTAATATCGTATAAGTCTTCAAACCTAGAGATATGATTTGTTACTTACAAGTTGGTTATGCATTGATTGTACGAAAACGCATTGGTAACTCGATGTTATAAATCGCTCTTGTGTGTAATTCAATGAGTGGTAGAACAAACATATGAGTCGAAGTTTATCTGTTCCTTCTTGGATTAGAAGCTGATATCTGGGCCCCTCGATGATTTTGTTTTGACCTATGTACCGGGCCCGGTCAGAACTAATTGATGTGTTCAATGAAGTTCTTTGTCAAACAAATCGGAAATCGGGAAACAAACTGTTGGACAATAAGTAAGACATTGTTCCATGTATTTGTCCGACTGATATCTAGAACAGAGGATTATATGATCACTTATCTTAAATGGCGTACCATCATCTTCTCAGTTCCGAGAAACCTTGTAAAGAGCTACGATTGCCGATCGGTTCCTGAAGTCATACTTGCAGTAATAGTTATTAGACTTATCCAAGTGGGAGACTGTTGGATAAGGTGTCTAAGTCCATAACTATTTCTGGTATGTACTTGACCCGACCCGGCATGGTCCATTTGGGTTGCATGGCACCATGCAATTGGATAGACTAAATGAGAGAAATAACACTTGGAGATTATTAATATATTATAAGTTCTAATATATTAATAATATTATTTGATTAGTTTGATCAAGAATTAATTTAGAATTAATTATGTGATCAAAAGATAACTAATTAAATATATGGGTTGATTATGTAAATCATCCATATCTTGTATAGTGGGCTAAGAGGCTCCATGGATTATCAAGTTGGGTTCTACCCATAGGATGCTCCATGGATGCTCCATGGGAGTTACAAACCCATGGGTCATGGAAATGAAGAGTCATGACACATTAGGGTGTAACCCTAGATGTGTCAACACTATATAAGAAACATATTCTCCACCAAAATCGGTGACACTAAGAAACAAGAGGGCTTGGCCGATTTTTGAGAAGTGTGTGTTCTCTCATAAGTTCTTCCAAGAGCATTTGGTGTTGTGTGAAGCATTTGAGGCATCACACTTGGGGTGCTAGGCTCACAAGATTTCAAGGAACACAAACAACAACAAGGTAATTTATTCTATCTATACTTTAAGTTAAAATTGTTCCCCATGTATGCTAGATAGGAATATAACCTTGGAATTCAACTTTGCATGATAATTAGACAAACATAGATCCAAGGTTATTAGGGTTGCATGTACACTTAGGAAGTGTTAGAATGCTCAAAACCCATCAAAAGAGACAATTAAATGCCACACTTAGTCGTCAGAAAAGCTATGTTGATGTAAGACGCAAACCCTTAGAGTTTAATGTAAGAGATCGTATCCTACTAAAGGTCGCACTATAGAAAATGTCATTAGATTTGGGAAAATGAGGTAACATAAACCCCCGTTATATCGGGCCTCGTGAAATCCTATCAAGTAATGGTCTAATGGATTACAAACTCGAATCACCTCAAGAACTAAATAAAGTTCACGATACCTTTCACATGTTTAATCTTAAGGAGTGTCTCTCTATTGAGAACCTTGTCTTTCCTCTCCATAAGATACATGTCAACACAAAACTTCATTTCGTGAAGGAACCATTGGAAAACATGGATCAGCAAATCAAAAGCCTTTAACAAAGCCACATACATATAGTAAACACCCAATGGAAATCTTGTATTGAAACGTGAGGACCAGATGAGACAAAAGCATCCGTAAATTTTCAACTATACACCCTCCACTACAGGAATGAAATACTAGTAAAACAAAATGATAGTGGAACAAAATAATCTAGAATTTAATAATTTCAGGAAGAAAATCCCTAAACGGGGAGGTAATGTGACATCCCGGAATTTAGGTCACAGACTGTGAACGGTCAGTTCTCAGTAAACCTCTTTGTAATTTTATCCATTGTGTTTTAGTGAATATAATGTAAAATAAATGAGTTATCTCAACTATTATAAGATACCAGATGGTATCTTACTTCCCTTTGTGTAAATTGACAAACCAAACAAACAGCTCAAACTGCGACCATAGGAACACGTTCGAAAAACTAAAATTGTGTATTAAGCAATTTTGAACAATGCAAACACTCTAGTCTTGTAATACGCATTTCTCTGATTCTGAAAATATATAGAACGTCCAAAACGGAGTTCGTATGCAGATGATAGGATCGTTTTAAGAATTCAAAACCAGTATAATACTTATTTTTTCTTATAATCGCTAAAACTGTTTCTATCCGTTGAGGGACTTGCACACCTCAAAAGGAATTTCCGAAAATGTTTTTAGACTTGGGATATAGCCTAATTGTAATTTCATATTTGAAATATTTTTATAAAGATATTTATAAAAGTTGGAAAGTAAGACGTTTTCAGATTTATTAATCGCAAAACTTTAAACATGGTTTCCCGGAGTTCTATAACTCGAAAAATTAATCTGATTGGATTTTTGAAATCCTTGAACTAAACTCTATTATTCACCATTTTTAGAAAAATATTTAAAATCGAGATCAATGACACATAAATCGAGAAAAATTGTTTGGTAACATTTTAAATGTCATAATTGTGACATTACGGATTGTTGATACCATAATTTATACCTTGTGACTCAAATATTCAACCATGTATTATTGTTTAAACATGAATTTGGGTATAAGAACTTCATTTCCGTGTTTATTGTGAATCATCGTGTTAGACAAGTATGAAATGCTTATAAGAATCAAGTTGGTTTATTGTAAATTAAGACGACTGCAATAACATAATCTTTATTAAAACATATATATATATATATATATATATATATATATATATATATATATATATATATATATATATGCTAGTTACTCTTGCAAATACCCGAATACATATATGATATATAATTTTATTTATATATGAAAACTTAAATATATGTACACATGCATTGTTTCTTCAAAAGAAAGGTTGATAATGAAGAAATTCATGATTAAAAATCAAGAGATTAAACGTCACAAAGCTTCAACAAGTGAACCACAACCACAAGAGTTGAATAGTAGATTCAATGATCAGGCGATGGAGCTATTAAATCTTAGTTCTACTTTAGTTTCAAAAGAACACCCTAAAGTGATTAAAGTTGATCAAATTTGTCGGCTTGTTGAGAAGTATTATCCCGAAGATTTTACGGAGCAAGAGAGAATTCAATTACGATATCAATTGGAGATTTTTAATATTGATATGACAAAGAATCCCAAGTTTAGTGGTGTATCAACTATTACTAACTTACGCAAAGGGTCTTGTGGAAACTCGGAAACGTGACACATATTATTTTCTTGATATTGTGGTACGGTTAATCTTGAGACTTCCAGTTTCTACCGCAACAACAGAAAGGTTATTTTCAGCAATGAAAATATTCAAGAACCGTCTTCGCAATACGATGTCAGATGATTTTCTCGCAAACAACTTGTTGGTTTACAAAGAGAGAGAAATTACTGAAAACATTGATTCGAAGTCGGTTATTGATTAATTTAAAGACCTCAAAGGTCATCGGACTAATTTATAATTCTTTTTGTAGTTATTTTTTGTGTTTATTTGCAAAAGCAAATTTGGTTTTTTTTTGTATGTCACTTTGTGATTATTTTAAATTAAATTTTTTCCACATGACATTTAATAAATATATTTCAATTTCATTAATTAATTTTCCTTCTAATTTTAAATTTTCTAAATTAAACCTCATTAATTTTTTTTGTTTATTTATCTAATTTATTTTTTTTAATTTAAAAGAAAAAAACACTTTAATTTTAATAATTCAATATTTTTCTATTTTTTTTATAATATCAACTTCTCAAATGTTTATAATTTTATATATAATTTTTCTGAATAAACTCATGTAATACATGAGTCTTACACCTACTAAATAAATAAATACAAATAAATAAATAAATAAAGGCCAAATATTGCACATCTAAAACCATACACAAAGGTTTATACAATTTTACACAAAATAAACATATTTTTATAAACAAAGAAGTTTATACACAAAGAAAATAAAATTTATTTTAAATCCATTAAAAAAACGTGAGCTGTCAATTTGTCGTACGTCTTCGTCTTCTTCTTCCTGGACACTCAAATGCACACTCATCTCCCTTCCTTCCTGCACATCAAATTAAACAGGAGCAGATAACGTGCACTCATTGTTCAACCCAAACACCGATACAAACCATCCCAGCGATTCATATCAAAATAACCCCAAATATCCATTCCATTCATCAATTTCCTATCCAAACAATAAAAAACAAACATCCCAGTTCATTCATTGATACCAGTCGACACAAACCAAAAAAAAAATGAAAATGAAACAAGAATGTGACCTTTTAGCCCTGTTGGCCGCTGCTTCCGTTCACCTTCTTCCCTTTGGACAGTCAGGACCGAAGACCACAGCAGCGAAGCTGCTTCTCCCGTTCGGCCTCTTCAACCCCGGAGACACACCCTCTACCCACGAACAATCCACAACCATCGTACCTCGCAGCCATGAAGGAAGCGTAGCCCCACCTGCTTCGCATTGGTCCACATAAACCATTTCCAGCTTTCTACCCTTTTCTTGTTTCCTGTCAACGACGGGACCATTGAACCAAGAGAAGCTCGCCGGAAATCGGCTGCCCTCTCCCCTTCTCACGACCACACAGCCACCGTCAATCATCACCGAGACAGAAGCCGTTTCCCCCTTCTTCTTTCCCTGCTGCACCCACCGAAACCATAGCAGCTTCGCTGCTTGTCTCTTTCTTTCCCTTCGATCCAGTCGAACTCCGGAGACCAAATCGGCTTGGGAGCCGACCGGCGAACCCTCGTGCCCCTTTCAGGCCGCCTCCTGCCTCGCCTTTCATCTTGTTGTTCGCCATCGGACCTCCTCCCTTCGCACCTCGCTGTCACAGTCGAATCAAACAGCCGAGAGCTGCTAAGCAGCCCCCGTTTCTTCCCCCACAGAGATCGACAACAACGCTCGTGCTTCGTGATTGGTTTTCTGACCTGCATTCGCTCCATATCACACGATCAAACGACGACCAAAACCCCAATGCAGTTATGATTTTGATTTCTTTGTGCCTTCGCGTTTCATGCGTGATGTTACCCGATCGACTGAACCTCCGATTTTCCTTCCTGACTTCGAGCGGATGAGCCACATCGAAATCCTGGTCTGGATTCATGTATTAAGCCTCTTCATTCCTTGACCGATCAAATGACGGGATGAGATTAACCCTAATCTTTTTTAAATGGGTCCATTAAATCGGGTATGGGGCTCCAACACAGAAACATGGGTTCCGGGTTTGTCCCAGTCAAAGGTCAAATATGACTCAAACCAAAATTCAAATTACTCAAAACATACCCTCATTTGACAAATGCTTTGCAAAATCAGTCCAATTCCCAAACCTTAAACCCATTTGTTTAAAACACCCCCTCACTTGGTATTTATTTTATCAAAAAAGTCCTACGTTGGTTAAATTAAATTACCAAACAACCCCTATACTTTAGCAAAGTTACAAAACAGCCCTAACAGTTTAAACTCGTTACGAAACAAACCCAAGAGTATTTCAAAGTTCAAGAATGGTGGATTTGCGGTTTATCATGTCAAGCTTCTCAAACAAACCGATTTCAAACAAATGGATTCACGCTTCAAGGGTGAGTATTACAGCCCATCTTATACGTTTTTACATTTTGGGGGAGAATACATGTGTTAAATAGTATTTAAATTACAAAATACATAAGTCTTATATGATATGCATGATATAAGTTTAAAGTATTTCAAAGTTTAAAAGACTTCTATACATGAATACTTTTATGCATAAGACTTTACACGCATATACGAGATCATCACATTGAAATACATTTTTCTATAAAAGCAAGTAATTTATAATATTATAAATACGTTAACCATACTCGACTTTTATAAACATTATATTATGAAATTCATTATATGAATACTTTTATGCATAAGGCTTTACACGCATATACAGGTTTAAAGTATTTCAAAATTACAAAGACTACTACCATTGAATACTTTTATGCATAAGGCTTTACACACTTACACAAGATCGCTATGTTGAACCACATTTCTCTATAAAAGCGAATAGTTTATACTTTTATAAATACGATAACCATACTCTGCTTTTACGAATGCTATACTACGAAATCCATTATGTCTGACACTTGGTCTTAATTAAGTTATGGCTGAGAGTTATTCACAACTTTTCGTTAATGGTTTTTTGAGTGAGACGCCACTATTCATTAGATGAGTTTAATCACTTAGCATGTCACACAATGTTATAATCGCTAATCTTCGGAGAGAGGTACATATGTATAGATCTATATGGGGTCGACAACCCCACCTGCAGTTGCTAGCTACAACCATCGACTGATCAATCGTAGCAGATGATATGTGTCTACGATCGTTACTACGATGTCCATTGAAGCGTCGTATGGAGGGGTACTTTCTTCCATAGCTTGATTATTGAACTCACTAAAAACATTAACACGAAGTCATTTTAAGTATGGAAATTACTTTTACAAAGCATTCATTTTGACTTTCAAGAAGTCATTACAAGTGCATTTTTAAGTATGGAAGTTACTTATACAAACTACAAAACATTCATTTTGATTTTCAATGAGTTATTACAAGTACATGTTAAAAGCATGAATTTACTCATATCAAAATACATTCTTGGCTTTTAAAGACTCTTTGCAAATACTATTTTTAACTATCATTATACATACAAAGATAATACTTTTTAGACTTATTAAAAGTATTACTGCATTAGCAGAAAACATGTGACACTCACCAACCTTGTGTTGACTTTTTAAAAACTATATGTATTCTCAGGAAAACACTAAATAGGCATTTACGACAGATTGGATTACAGGTGACCTAGTTTACTTACTATTGTATTAAATGCCTATCTGTTAAGGCAATTCAGGTATTATTATTTGTAAAAACCTTATATTCAAATATCAAAATGGAACATGAATGTTATTTTGTTTATTGTTGTACTTGTTCTATATATTCAATTTTCCTGTGATCCATGAACTTAGTCTCACAGCTCGGCTTGTTCCGCCGCCTCGTCCGGGGGTGTGACATAAACCCACAAACTAAATCCTTAATAAGGCATGCATAAAACCTCCTTCCAGGGTTCAGTGGTGTCCAAGACGTTTTCACAAAAGCGAGTTTTCCACAAAAACAAACCACCATTGTTCGATTGTAGAACAGGAATGAGAAATTGAAGAAAATAGTCGTTGGGGAAGAAAGTTCGTTGGGGAAGAAGATAATTACAAATAGAAAATGGTATATAAAGGGACTTTTATTTTTTCTTATGCAAAAATGATCCTTAGAAGTAGAAAGACGAAAATACCCTCACATGGAAGGCACATGAGGGGGTTAACGGATTGTTTTAACGAGAGTTAAATACAGTGACCATTTTCACAAACAAACCAGTCCAAAATGACCATGAAGCCAAAAAACTCGGTGGTTTGGATCAAAATCGCCAAAAAGTACATACAACATGGACCATTTTTTCAATTTTGTCTATATTATTATTATTATTAATATTATTATTATTAAACAATTAAAAGGAACTACATACTAAAACTCAAAAAGGGTGTTATATATATATATATATATATATATATATATATATATATATATATATATATATATATATATATATAGAGAGAGAGAGAGAGAGAGAGAGAGAGAAAGAGAGAGAAAGAGAGAGAGGAGAGCTCATGCGAAAATGAAAATAATTTGCGAAAACACGAAAACAATGAAAACCTATAAAATTGTGTCACCTCAACCTTATATTTGGGATAAGAATCCATCCAAACTTTCAACTGTATTATGATAATCGATGATACATGAGAAATTCTTTCATATTGGCAAAGCATTTTTTTGACATTTTTATTATTAAAACTTGAATTTAAAAGTGGTTAAGGACGTGAAAAAAGAAAATGGTTGTTTAAACCACCTTTAAATCTATATTACCATAATATCCTATAGTCGAAACTTATTATCTTTAATTTATTGCTAATAAATTTAATTTCTAAAGTACATGTATTTGATTTTTATAAGATGAAATCTGTTTTCGCGTTTTCGCAAATTATTTATATTTTCGCATTAACCAACTTGTATGTGGGTGTGGGTGTGTGTGTGTGTGTGTGTGTGTATATATATATATATATATATATATATATATATATATATATATCAACTATAATAAATGAAGATCCATTTTGTCACATGTCAATCTCTCATGAATTTTGACACTTATCATTTTATGATATTTTTGCTATAAATAATATTCACATGTTAATTCTTAGGTTTTTCAAATTTTAAAATTAAAAAGCACATCATATTTATATATTTATATATGTAAAGTATTAAATATCATAAATATGATATTAAATTGCAATTAATACATTTCTTTATTTCTTATTGAAAAATCTTCCTTTAAAAAATATTTATTGTTTATATTTTAGTATTTAATATATTTTTTAAATAACCCTTATAACATACGAGTTTTACACCTAGTATATATATATATATATATATATATATACACACACACACACACACTAGTCGTTTTCCCGCGCAAAGCAACGACGACAAATAGTTTATGAATGTTCTATTTGAACGACTGCATATAATTTGGTTTTGTGAATTGTTTCCTTTTCGAAAACATGTCGTATTCCAATGAGCATGTAAGGCTAAAAGGAGTGGTAACCCTCTTGGCGTGTTGCCACATAGGATTTTTTTAGTTTTTTTTATGACACATAAGCTTAGCATTTTTAGCACAAAAAAGGTAGGGAGTGAAAGTGTGACAATTTAATAGGTTTAATTTTGAAGAAAAAAAATTAAAATGTATAAAAAAAATACAGATTAACCAATCACAAGGCACCTTAATACTTTCTCTCTCTTCTCTCCTCTCACCACACACATAGCACCTCTTTCTTAGCACCTTCCTTAGCATAAGGTAGGGAGTGGTGTAGCATCTTTAGTACATCCATTGACACCTCCCTTAACACCTCCACTCCCTATAGGCTAATACATTTGCAAATATCTTTTAGGATTATACTATATATCTATAATGTGTGTTGCTGTTTTAAGTTAAAAATAAAATAATATTGTTGTTTTTAGTCAAAAATAAAAGTACATCACTCTTTCCGGGGTACTGTGGGGTTGAATTTTAATAAATAGTTTTCTTTTGTTGAATGTTTTAATTTGGACATTTGGGGTGAGAAAATGTATGTGTAGGCATTAGGATGTAGAGGGGGTGTTTGTGTGGGTGGGTATGTTAGTGGGTGGGTGGTTATGTATGGGTGTATGTGTGTATGTGTGTCTTAGGGTGGGTATCGATGCCGACATGGGCTTGTTGGTGTTGGTGTTGGTGTTTGCGTGTTCGTGTGGGTGTAGGTTTGGGGTTGGGGTGGGGTGTTTGGATATAGGGATGGGTAGGTGGAAGTACGGCCAGGATGGTGTGCACGGTCGTGGTTCGTGCCCACCTAGACCACGAAGTCCGTCGTCCTCTGTATTTCGGATGGTCTTAGGTTTTTAAAAAATCAAACAAGAGACAAAAGGAAGGATATGGAGCAAACCTTTTGAAAATGATGAATTTGACGTTGATTTATGTCTCGATGACCACCGTCGTTTGGTGAACGACGACAATGGAGAATGTTTAAAGGGGCACTTAAATGGGTTGCGATCAGTGGGCTACTGCACTATTAACTTATTAAGGGTCACACAATGGCACAAGGATACCAAAATAAGGGGGATGTTATCCATCAATAATATTTGTATATTTATAAATATTTCAATTAGTTCATATATTGTATCTTTTTCATTAAAATTATACTTATTCAAAGTTTTTAGAGAAAATATTTAAAGACTGATATATCTGTATCCTCCGTAATAAATAAAGATCTTTTTGCCACATGTCACATTCTTATGTATTTTGCCACATGTAATTTTGTGATTATTTTCAATTAATTCTTATTCCAAATATCATTTTGTGGTTTTTTTCATTTTTTTTAATTTCCACATAATATTTAAATATAATAATTGCAATAAATGTAATAATAAATGCATATAAATTTCATTAATTGACTTCATTTTAATTTTAATTTTTCTAAATTAAAGTTTTATTAGTTTTCTTTGTTTATTTATCTACATTATTTGTTTAATTAAAAAAAAACAAACAATTTAATTTTAACAATTGAATATTTTTCGATTTTTTTCTTATAAATTCAAACTTCTCAAATTTTTAGAATTTCGTATTTTTTTTCTTTAAAATGAACCCATGTAATACATGGATCTTACACCTAGTATACTTATAAATGAAGCATTTTTACTTTCACCACATTCATTTGAAACTCTCATCTATTTTTTCTTTCACCGCATTCATTTGAAACTCTCATGACTTTTCAATTTCTTTCTAATAATGATTATAAGTTGTTAATAAAGTTAAATAAATATCAAATCTAAAGTGTAATCATTTATAAACTAAATTTCAATATTAAAAGAATATATTTACTTCTACTTATAAAGTTATGTTTTTATAACTTTTTACATATAATACTTAATTTATCAATTTTAATATATTGTTGATGTAAACCATCATGATTTTAAAGCTACAACTTTAGAACAATTTGAATAAAATACTTCAATAATTACTTTAAATATAACATTACAAGGTTAACTTAAATATAATTTTTAGTTTAACTTAAACAATACAAAGAATATTTTGTAAATAGTTAAAAGTGATAAATTGTAGTGTCTTTCTAATAATGATTATAAGTTGGTTAATAAGGTTAAATAAATATCAAACCTAAAGTTTAATTATAAATAAACTAAAGTTCAATACTAAAATAATATATTTACTTCTGTTTATAAATTTATGTCTTTAACTTCTAACATAATATACTTAATTTACTAGATTTAATATGTCGTTTTATATAAATCATTATCAGTTTAAATCTACAACTTTTGAATAGTTTGAAAAAATACTTAAATTATTAATTTAAATATAAATTTCATTTTCACTTAAAAAAAACTCAAAAAAAAAAATTGTCAATAGTTAAAAGTGATAAATTGTAGTGCTAAATGCAAAAACTAAATTGTAAACTCAATTTAACTAAAATATTCCCTAAATATATTTTTATAATCGTTAAAAGTTTTCAAATAAGTAGTTTAAAATAACTTACAATAATAATAGTTAAAAATAACTCTATATAAATGATTATATTGTTGCCTTTAAATCAAAAATCAATGTTTGATGTTTTAAATAATTATAATGATATAAATTATAATGTTAAGCTAATAAATTTGAAAAAAAAAATAATAATAATTAACAATAGTTAAACCATATATTATATTTAATTTTATTCGTGAGTAATTCACGGGTAAAATTATTCAAACGATTAAGATTATACGGTTATAATAAATGTATATATAATCATATAATTCAAAACAATCAATATATTATATCAATTTAATATATTAATTATTATATCAATTTTAACAACGTTATTGTTATATTAAAAAAACATATATTTATAAAGATTTTAACTATATATGTATATATTTATAAAGATTTTAACTATATATATATATTTCTGCGCAACGCAGGAACGTTCGCCTAGTTTAAATGTATTTGGATGATTTTTAATGATATAGAAGCTATGAGCTACTCACTATTACCTATTTTTCCGAACACTATCCTAGAACGTATTCATTAATTCATGTTTTTATTCTTAGTAGATAAAGGACCACTAAATAAGTGAACACCATCTCATTTGCATTTGATCAAAATATTTGTATTACATTCTTTACGTACTAGAAGTAAATCTCTTTGAATTATTTATAGCCTCCATTCTCTATCCCCATTTCAAGTAGGAATGAGCATCCGAACTTAGTACCTTCTTCTGAAATCTTATCTGTTAATTTTGTCTGATTTCAAAGAACGAAAATTTTTATACAATCAGATGCCACATTTATCAGATAAGATCCGGAATCTTTGTATCCGGACCTTCTAGAACCAGATGGGCCGGGTTTTTTTAATGATATAATAGCCCCTTCTAAAATATGCATATCCTCAAAACTGAATCAAATCCAAATAATCTTTCAATAATACTCTTGCTCGAATTACATCCAAGTGATAACATACCTCACCACAATCTCAACTCTACTACAAAACCCAAAGATGTTTTTAATGATTTAAAAGCAAATCTTGATATTTCTTTTTTTTTTTTTATCAAATTGATGGAATCTTGAAGTAGTCAGGATCAAAGTGATGCAGCCTCACATAACCATCTTCACCACCACTTGAAAAACTAAAAAAAAAAAAAAAATCAAATTGGGTAAAAATATTATCAACAGCTATGAGCAGGGGTATTTAGGTCTTTTGTGCAAAAAAATATCTAAAGCAAGTCCATGTCCAGTCTCTTATGATAGAAGAATGTACCTTTTCCCATCAGGATTGAAAGCCAAAGCATTTATTGGACCAAAATGCCCTTTAACCCCTCCAATCTCTTCTTGTAGAACCTATTATACCACATACACACAAGTTGACATACATATAAATAATAAATACAAATTCTGTAAAAAAAAGATTATATAAAAAATGTGATATTCCTATTTACCTTGTCATAAAATTTGGCTTCAAATTTACCAGCACGATGATCAGTTGTGGTAACAGCAGATGCATCCTGACCACCTCCAAGCACCACCTGATAAATCATAAATGTTTCATATTATTATATTAAATTTAAATAAAATAAGATTGTTTTTAATAAAATTTAAAAAAAAAAAAAATAAAGATTATGAACTTACATGGTTAAGCAGTGGAGACATTGCAACTGCATTGACTGGACGTTCAGTAACATATGTCTTGATCAATGTCAATGATCTGCTGTCCCAAAGCTAATTATTTATTTCAAAGAAAATAAGGGGATAAGAATGATATGATTTAATTTAATCAATAACTAACACTATGAAAAATGAAATCTTGTTATAGAATTAATTACCTTAGCTGACTTATCAAGGGATCCAGTGAGAAAATGTGAACCATCAGTAGATTTTGCAAGTGAAGTAATTGTCTTTTTGTGACCAATATCCTTGTCATTTTCTTGCAGCAGTTTTCCTGTCTAAAAATTTAAAAGAAAAAAAAAATAGTTAACTGAGGAATAAGAGACATCAATTCCATTCATCTTCTTCATCAAGGTTGGAGGAAAACAATAAAGCAGAAAAGTTCATAGAGAAAAACACACAAAGAATTTCATCTATCTGTTAACTGTATTAGGTATAGAAAATATACCTCTGTATCCCAAATTCGAACCACAGCATCTTCACCAGCACTAATGATTGTCTTGTTCAGAGGTCCCCAAACAGCTCTATTGATCCTACCTTGAGGACCCTTAAGTACGAGTACAGATTCACCAACCTCTGAAAAGTTGCACCAATTAGAACGTAGTATTATTAAAATTGTCACATTATGATACAAACCAATGCATTGTTTGGTTGAAAATAGATTAAAGCTGCTTTCTCTAGTTTACTGTATTTGTTGATTTGAGAACTGAATATAAACCAGGCCAAATTAGTGAACTCACGGTCAGCAGGATCAGAAGAAATGCGTTTAACGTGGATAGCAGAAGTTAATCCCATAAAAGGGTCGGTGGTGATAACAGCAAGCTTATCACCAACGGAAAAATCTACAGCTCTAGCAGGGGAATCGAAATTGAATGTGAAAAGCTGTGTTCCGGTCTGAACATCCCAAAGTTTGGCTGATTGATCGGCACTCCCGGTAATCAATCGTGTTGAATCTCCTGCAGAAACAATTGTGAATCAGTTACCTTATTAACAAAAGAAAATTCCACAAAATCCAATCGCTAAGTTATAGATTTGACTACCAGAAAAGCCGATTACTAATTAGTTCAAAACCAAAACAGTTGCTAATTTGACGAAATTAAACAAGACTTAAAGAGGGAGAGGAAGGAAGAAACTTACTCGAAACATCGCAGCACCATACGGCACCATTGTGACCACGATATGTGCCCAATCGTTCGCCGTTGTCTGCGAACCACACAGTAGGAGTGTGATCTTTGGCGCAAGAGAAGAGAAGGTCACCATCCCTGTTATACTTGAGAAAAGTGAGTGGCCTCTCGTGCCCTTTCATCAATATCGGCCTCATCTTTGCTTTCGTTTACCGGAAATTCGATTGAACAAAAGTGGAGCTCTGAGATGTCGAGTTTTGGGAAAATTATTCAGATGTTAGAAACCCTAATAAATCAGAGGAAGATGAGTGCGGAGGTCGAGCCGTCGGGGGGGTTTTGGAAAGCTCAAATTGTAGGATAGCTGTAAGATTGGGCCACTTTTGGGTCGGATCTGCTAAAGGGAGCCCAATTGATGGCTGTTGGGTTATTTGTTTTTTTAATTATTTGGAAATCCTCATAATTCATAAACTAAAACAATAGAAACATTTAAAGGATAAGTCCATAACAATAGGCTTAGATATCATCATCTATAATAATATTTGTAAAAAACAATCTAATTTTACAAACTCCACAGTGCCATTTGTAGCCCTTACACCATCCGAAATACTGATGTGTTTATGGTTTATTTGGCAACAACAATAACCACTAACCATAAACATCATTTTAGTTTTTTAGTGGTTGCTAGTGATGGTTATTTGTGGTGGGGAGCACAATCTACCACAACCAATTAGCTTCTTTCCCTCTCTAGTTCTCATTGCACATTTATATATATATATATATATATATATATATATATATATATATATATATATATATATATATATATATATATATATATATATATATATATATAAACACATACAAAATCTGTTTTTTAACTGATTCAACAGTCTACATGAGACTAAACATGATTTGTATGTATATTAGATGAATATAACATCGACAAGTGGATATGAAATCAATGAGGCAAAATCTTTTGTGGAATAATGCCAAATTAGTGAGGAGATGTAACGTTTTCTTGTAGGGGCACTGACAGATAGCCAAAAGGTCCTTTGTGTTATGTAAATAATGATTGAACATCTAAATTCATGTTTTACTGATCCTTAAAAGTCAAATGTCTTTTGTGCCTTGCCCACATAGTCACCCTTTCACTCACTTTATTTCCTTATTAATGTCATTATGTGACACGTCTTTTCAACTAAAGTTAAGAGATAAGCAAACTGTCTCAAATCCATTAGTCATTGTTTGATGTAAAGGAATAACTTTTTAAACATTTTTTTAAATCTTGCACTTTCTACACTGAACCTTATTTTTGATAAGTAACAAATATGAGCATTACGTATATAACAAATGTGACAAAAAGTCCAAAAGTTCATTTTGTTTATGGGTTTTTATGGAATGTAGTTGAGATAGCAGCAGCGATAGTAACTTCTGTATTTGGAATTATATTTGAAAAGACTCAAATTTCTGCAATGTTTGAGCATGCAAATAAGTTAGAATTGCACATTGTTCAAATTTAGTTGGTGTACATTGAGTTTGACACATAATTTTTTGTCGGGTTGGTTTTTATATGCGGCTAACTTGAATCATATTGCATTCGACTTGTGCCCTTTTGTTTCATTAAGAGAACATTTTGCACAATAATTTGTATGACTGTGATTTGTGGTTTTAATTGTTTTTGGAAGTAAAAAATAAAGGTATTGTATGTTATGGTTTGGCAAACTATGGACATAACATCACCGGCCGAGTCTATCTTTGAAATACACTTCTTCAATCGGGACTTCCAACTATATCACTTATAAATGGCTTCTTTTTATGGGATTCAAAGGTTTTTTATTTTAATCTATGTTTTTAAACATGTTTTCTACTCTTTATGCTAATGTTTTCAATTTATATTTGTACAGAACCCATATGTAGCCATTGTTGATCCATGTGGTTCAAGCAGAACATGAATCATTATAATTTCTCCTACACAAGTCACGGTTGGATAACCATATAAAATATTCTCAACATGAATCATTATAATTTCTCCTACACATGTCAATATACTTGACAATTAACAAAAAATAATTGTCATTAACACATAAGGATCTTTTAATAAGTTTGGCAATATAAATTAAAAATAAACAAACAATCTAATATAGCAATTAATCTATAAATCAAGGTTTTATTTAATATTAAACTCAAAGTAAATGGTTTTGACACCAAAATCAGAAAGCAAAAACATAATAGTATCACAATGGAATGCTAAGCATGGTCACCTTAACAAACCACATGATTACCGACACGTATCCGTTCTCTAATCCTTCCGATCTTCGTTCCTGTCAGCTTAACGACCTTCCAGCCGCCTCCTAGATCCTTAAAACGGCCAAATGTATGTTTTTTGTCGACTAAGGATCAGTGGAAGTCGAAAACTCTCTTATGGTTGGCCGATATCCTCTATTTATAGCTTTTATAACCGACCTACGTACGTTGGGCGTAGCTAGAATTCCATCGCGATAAGGAAGTCCGGATGAAAGCCCATTACGATAGGCGTAAGTTAATCTACGTTGGGCGTAGTCTTTGTCTCACCAGTACGCTTAATGTACGTAACCTTACGTTGGGCGTACTTGCATCCTTTTAACATTTTCTTTCTTTTTGCTTCCAAGCCCGATTTTCGCTCCAATCTTTTCTTTTCCGCTCTATTGACAACTAATAGCTGTAAATCACAATTCAAAACATTATAAGTACCTTTCAGTTCTAAATAAGAATAATAAAGGTTGAAATACTAAGATATAATGTATAAAAATATGTATAAAAATACACATATCAATTTCTTTTTACTACAATATTGTGCTTTTATTTTTTTTCTTATTAAGGCAGTCTACTTTCATTTCTTTTTTAGGACATTATACTCTATTCAATCTATCCAATTTTAGCGGTATCCAATTGTTTTGTATTTGGATGACATTTATATTGATAAATAAGATAACATAGAAATAACATTGTACTCTCTTTTGAGTTTTGGCAATGAGTATTTTAAGAGGTTGAGATTTTTTAAGTATGCCGTCGAAACCCATTTAAACCTGCACCGGGGGGGGGGGGGGGGGGGGGGGGGGTTCTTCCGTTAGTTTGATATAAATGCATAATTTTAAATATATATATATTTTTATCTATTTTAAAATTCTAAATTTTAAATTTTATATCATCTTGTTACATATCAATCTTCATGATCGTTTTATATATGTCAACCTTTTAAGATTTGTTTATTATAATGTTATATTATATTATATTTTAAATTTTTATTTAATTATTCATTTTATTACATGTCAGTGTTTAAAGATTTGTTTATTTTTATACAATAGATTTTATTATATGTCAGTTTTTACAATTTGTTTATTATAATGTCATGCTTATTTTTCTTTAATTTTATATGATAATTAATTTTTTTTATTTAATTATAGCAATGATATCTAAATAGAGAACCATTTTACTATTAGACTTTTCTTGGAAAGTGGTATTTACTTTAAACAAGAAGTTTATAATCTAAAAGGGTAACTTTTGAAAGATTTTAGTTTTTCACTAACTTCCGCGACTTTTAGTTTTTGGTTTTGTGTAATTTCGCATCTTTAAAAGCTAACAGCTACTTTCGTCGAAGACTTCTTTACAAATAGAAAGTAACAACTACCAGCTACCAACTAGTTTTATCAAACAAGCTTTAATCAACTTACTCGTCCTTGTTACTTCCATGCATAGGCAACCTTGGAGTAGGGACAACCTCCAGTGGGATCTTCTTGTAAGCCACTATTCCTAACATCTCTACCATGTCAACTTCCTCCGCCCTAAACCCTTCTGGCAACGACCATTCAAATCGGTGCAAAATACTCCCCAACATTAAGCTCACCATGTTCATCCCCAACTGTGCACCTGGACACATCCTTCGACCCGACCCAAACGCCAACAACCTAAAATCATGCCCTTTTATATCAACATCTTCTTCAAGAAACCTTTCGGGTTGAAAAACCAACGGTTGTTTCCATGCATGCGGGTCACGACCGATTGCCCATACATTAACGTAAACCCTACTTCCTTTAGGAACACCATAACTTTCGATCTTTAAGTTTGTTGTGGCTTGGTGGGGAAGCATTAGTGGCGTAGGAGGATGCAACCTTAGGGTTTCTTTAACCACACATGTTAGGTAAGGAAGGTTTGGTATATAGGATTCAGTCATAACTTCACCAAACCCTATAACCCTATCTAGTTCCTCTTGAGCTTTTCGCTTAACCGTCGGGTTTATTAGCAACTCGACCATAGCCCATTCCAGGGCGGCAACAATGGTGTCGATCCCTGCAGTCACCATGTCCCACAATAGCCCACTAATTGTATTGTCGCTAAGATTATATTCTTCACGTCGACTCAATAAAGCATCCAAGAAACTTAAATTATTATGGTGGGGGCTAGAGTTTTGGTTTTCTTTTTTCTGTATTATAATTGCTTGAAAGAATCGGTGGTTTCGTGATCCAATCCATTTGTTTTCATTGTCTTTAAGCCAAGAAAGACACCGTAGCCACGAGACTTCTTCCACTACACCTAATGATACCTTGGAGCGAAACTGAGCCTCCAAAATCGCATTTAACTCCCCATTATAAGACACCAATGAGTTGCCAAATAACATTCTTGCAATGATATTGAACACTGTCTTCTTCAAATAATTCTTTACTACTAAAACTTTCCCACAATAATCTTTGTTAATGGAGTCGATCATAACTGAAACATCATTTTCCCTCGTGGGCCTATGTGCTTCGAGGTTCTTTAGAGAGAAGAGTTCTACAACACAAAGCTTTTTGAGCTTCACAAACTGGGATCCATAGTCAGCCCATGTGAGATCATCACCATTTCTGCTAAATCTTACAATCCCTATCGTTCTGTGTCTATTTGCAAGTTGTTGGTCATGGTTCTTGAGAACTTCTTTAGCTAAGTGTGGGTTTGACACAGAGATGCAGATTGAGGAACCAATTTGAAACGATGTGATGGGGCCATATATATGAGACCATTTGGTTAAAAGACGAAAATCGTTGGGTCTTATTTGGTACATGTTGCCAACAATGGGCCATGGGCGTGGGCCTGGTGGGAGGTTTTGTCCGAGTTGTCTATGCAAAGTGAAGATGATGATGATGAGGGTGATTGAGAGGGATAGAACCTCAATCACCATTGATGATGATGTGAGGAAGCCGAGTGTGGGGAACAAACTCATGAGTTTTAACTCATTTGTAAAGAGAGGAGCAACTATTATATCATGTTCTTTAAGTGACATTTGTTTATAAATGGAACTGTATTCTCTTATTAATCAATGCAACTTCCATGCTCCTGAAAATATTCCATTTGTAATACATTTGTTATAGCTCAACAAATTTATGCTCCTTTTATTATTTTAACAATTCA